ATATATATATATATATATATATATATATATATATATATATGCCTTCGATTTAAATATATTTCTATCATAGAAGATAAAAACATGTACTTGAAGAAAAATATTTTTTCTCTATTTTGCCATATTGTTATAATATACAACATTGAGTGCCGAATTCTCACAGAAATTTTGATATCATTGCAATGACTATAGCAATAATTTCATTTTTCGTTTGTATACAATTTTACACTTAAAAATATACCATACGGTCACATCGGCCGCATGTCACATATGAAAAATGTTATTGTACCCGTTGACTTCTACACGCGAGCGGATCCAAACGTTTTGCACTGTGTAGTCAAAACTATTACTTGCTGTCAACTTACGTTGGCTGCAATCATAACTTTCGGTACAGAGAGGAACAAAGTTTTGTGCTTATTCGTCGTAGTTTTCTAAAGAAGGAGGTACACGTTGGCGAACAAAAATATTTATTGTCGCAAAAGGTTCCGATCCTCCGTGAGCGAGTTGGCTTAAGAACTTTGCTCGAACTTCCAAGTGTTTCCCGCACGCAACATTCGAATATTAAAGTTGCGCAAGCGCAATCGAACGGTGAATTCATTTTATTCGCAGCTCTCTCTCTACAATTGCCAGTTGTGATCGAGCTCCCGTTTGCATATCACCTTGTTCATAGTAATTTCCGCGCTAATTCACTTTAAAAAAAAATTTCCCATAAACGAAATTAAGAAACGATTTCCATCGAAAATTTGCAAAATCATGCGGAGTAACGAACATTATCAAGATGATATTATGTACATCACGAAAGTAACGCGTCACGTTTTAAGTGTACTCGGAGTTTGGCCATCTTTGTCTGTAAACAAATCCTTCGGCGGCAAGATTTGTAGGCTCCTGTTGATTACGATCTCTTGGACTCTCCTCTATTGCGTCCTGATTCCTGGTTTCCTCTTCTGGCTTATTGAGAAGAGAACGCGCATTAAGATTCAGACGACTCCTATACTCCTGTTCGGTGTCATGGCAATCGGTAAATACAGCAATTTGATATTTCGAGAAGGACAGATCAAGCGTTGCCTGAAACACATCGAAGATGACTGGAAAAACGTGATGAATACGGACGCACGAAACACAATGCTCGAATCAGCGAGAACTGGGAGACGTCTGGTCGTACTTTGCGGAGTCTTCATGTACGGTAGCGGGCTCTCCTTCCGGTCGATCCTGCCGTTGTCCAAAGGAAAGATCGTTACCGCGCAAAATATCACGATCAAGCCTTTGCCTTGTCCGGGTTACTTTTTCTCCCTCGACGCGCAAGTCAGCCCGAATTACGAGATGATTTTCGCGATGCAGTTCTTCTCGGGTTTAGTTACCTTCTCGATTACGACGGGCGTTTGTGGTCTTACAGCTGTCTTTGTAATGCATGCTTGTGGCCAGTTGAAAATACTGATAAATCTGATGACACATCTTGTCGAAGAGCAGTGGAATGAGAAACACAGTGTGAATCGGAAGCTGGCCGAAATTGTTGAATATCAAATACGAATACGAAAGTGAGTGTTTTTGTGACTTGTCATTTTGATTGAATCTATGTCATCACCATAATAATAATTGATCGCTATTATTAACGTTGAACACCGCGGGTGTGGACAGCAGTTTTTCAATCTTCTTTCTCGTTCTTCCTGGAAATATTGATTTAATATTATCCATAACCACATTTCAGTTTTTTGAAATTAGTGGAGCACACTATGCAACAAGTATGTCTGATAGAATTAATGGGTTGCTCGATAGTCGTCTGCATTCTAGGATATTGTATAATAATGGTTTGTTATTTTTTCTATCGGTTTAGTTCAAAGAGGAAAGGAATTGTGCTGTGTGTCCTTGTGAACATGATTTAATCGCTCTTTCATTAAGATCCTACATTTATAGGAATGGGAGAATAGCAATACAATAGGTATGTGCACTTATTTCATAGCGCTCATATCTCTGATGATAAATATGTTTATGTTTTGTTACACTGGTGAACAACTCTCCATCCAGGTATGTTCATTCGAGTTGACCTGTCAGATCTTAACGGCAGATGCCATCACACAACAACCGATATTATATAATGCGTGTAGAAATGCGCATATATAAATGAAATTTTTTATTTAACGCAAATAATATAACAATATTTCTTGTTTCATAAAAGTGAAGTTGACGACTTTTATTTGTTATTAAAAATAATGGTATTACTGAAGTATTGATTAGTCAATCTGTACATTTTTGCTCCACGTGGATTTGATAATATTAATAACAGGCGGAAAAAGTAGCTATTACATCGTGCGAGCTTGAGTGGTACCGTCTTCCGGACAGGAAAGCACGCGGCATCGTGCTTGTGATGATCATGTCCAACTCGCCGACCAAGATTACCGCTGGAAAAGTCATGGACCTCTCCCTCAAGACATTTGGTGACGTAAGATGATATTTTCAAACGGATCTATTTATTACATATATGATTTGCTGTGTTTTTATATTGCAGAAAAGTTAACAATATGTGGCAGAATTATTTTATTTATGAATAACGTTTCTTTCAGTCCATGTGATTTAAATAATTCGTCTCATATTCATGTGTATAATATTCTTCATACGTTTTACATTTACGGTTCGCAATTAATTAGATTTCTTATCGCAATTAAATAACTTTTTTCGTCGATACTAACGAGATGGTTTGAAAATGTTAAGCGAGCAATTGCGCCATATTGTGTTTTAGGTGGTCAAAGCATCTATGACGTATTTTAATATGCTTCGAAACGTAACAGATTGAATATTTGTACTTTTATCGAGATAATGATATGAATTATGCATTACAATGATGACATTATATAGTGTATATTAGTACAATGGATGTGTCAAATGCAGAGATTGATGCAATGTGCAGACATAGAATATGTATTCCCAATTTAAATACATATCTTATGTGAAAACATATATATTCATACGACTTTTTTTTTTACGGTGGGTTTGAAACACATAAGATCGACGTATCACATTATTTATGCGCCTCCTGCCTCACATTGTGCAGACAGATTTGTTTCACTTGGCATTGAAATCTCCACAACAGGACGGTCTATTACACTATGATCATTGTCGGTCATTATAAAGCATAATTCAAACATACTATTTATTTGAAACAAAAAGTTATAATAAATATGTTACGATAAACAACGACAAATATTTTTGTTATCAATCAAGACATGCGATAACATACTACCGGTTTTTTGTTTCCAAGTCAAAGACTATATTTTATACATTGTTATTATAGGTAATTTTTCTTTGCAAAACCTCGAATTTTTCATGATTCTTCAGGATATAAAAGCTTTCCTTCGTAGAAACACTTTCTTCCTCCGTACTGTAAACAAAAGTAGCATACTAAGTTTTTCGAACAACGTCTGTTCAAGTATAACAACATTTATTCAGACATGATCATAGAAGATAACAACATCATGTACGTAAATAAATAATTTTTTCTATTTTTCCGTACTGTTTTAATGTATGGCATCAAGCTATATATTGAATTTTCACAAAAATTTTTGCAATCATTCTAATGACTTTTGCAATTATTTTCTTTTTTCTTTTCTATATATTTCACATTTATTAAAAACACCACACGCGCACCAACCATACGCTACACACGAACTATATTGTTACACCTGTTGACTTCTGCATATGGACGAATATAAGCGTTCTGCATTGTGTAATTAAAACTATTACTTGCTGTAAACTTACGTTGGCTGCAATTGCAACTTTCGGTACAGAAAAAAACAAAGTTGTAACTTATTCGTAATTTTCCGATGAAGGAGATACACGTGGGCGAATAAATATAATTATCATCATAAATCCCGATCCAAGCAAGCGAGTTGTCTTGCGAATGTTGCTCGAACTTTCAAGTGCTCCTCGCACGCAACATTTGAATGTTAAAACCGCGCAAGCGCACGCGAAAAGCGAACTTATATTATTCGCGGCTATCTCTGCAACTGCCAGTAGTGACCAAGCTCCCGTTTGCATTTCATCGTGTTTATAGTAACTTGCGTGACAATTCACTTTTAAAAGTAGTCCCTCGTAAATAAAATTGTGAAACGATTTTCTTTAGAAATTTGCAAAAACATGCGAAGCAACGAACATTATCAAGATGATATTATGTACATCACGCAAGTAACACGTCATGTTTTAAGCGCACTCGGAGTTTGGCCTTCCCTGTCTGTAGACAAAACCATCGGCGGCAAAATTAGCAGGCTTCTGTTGATCACGATCTCTTCGACCTTCCTATGTTGCGTCCTGATCCCTGGTTTCTTCTTCTGGCTGCTCGAGAAAAGAACACGGGTCAAGATTCAAGTAACTCCTCTGCTTGTGTTCGGTGTCATGGCGATCG